GTTTTAAGACATTATGTCTTTTACCAAATATCGATGAAAGATGATTTTTGTCAACCTAATAAATTAATGATGATATATAAAAATGAAAAATTTTTAATCTAAAGTTAAGGAATAAAAGATATTAATATGAAAATATATGATCAAGTGAATGGTTAATGGTAATGAATACTTATCTTGCAAGGCTAAGAATACAACGTATTTTATACTATTAAATAAAAGATTCAAGCACTGATAGTTTACATGCTTCTAATAATATTAATACCCTCGCATACTTTCCTATGTTATACACACGTACTACGTTTTTTTGTTTTATAAACAGTTAGGAATAATTTTACGATTAGATGGATTGCTTCTAGTTAATATGTGCTTTCTTTTTTAAATAATTGAGAGTTAACATATTCAAAAAAGTTATAAAATGAGCAATAATAAATATTTTTAAAATGTATCTTACATTTATATTAGCTTAACATATTATTTGTGAGTTTTTTAAAAATATGATCATTATTATGTTGTATGACCAATTTATCAATTTTAAACACGAACAGTGTTATACTTTCAAATTGTTTATAGTAAAAGAGATTAATAATACACAGTAATAACAAAAATGATGAAGGAATGACGACGGATAGTAATGCAACTTACTATAAGGTACTTGAAGAAGTACTCCTTCAAGTACGTGGGAAAATGTGTATAAATTGACTAAACGATGTTTCATAATCTTTGCCTACGTCAAATTCGATTCTCTAATACTTTTGTCAAGACGTTTAAAAAACAAGTGATTCAAAAAGGTTAACTTCCATGGATATTATCGAAAGACGCTATCGATACCGACATTTACATGTTTAGAAAATACAATTTTCTAAATTAAAATCTATGCTACGTCACTGCTCTCAAAAATCATTTCAATTATATATAATTANAAAAAAATGTAGAAACTCTTTTAGAGAAAATATGAATATAATATGATACAAACGTTAATAAAAGTTTAGATAGCTAAGACACGTACAGCACATTTACCCTAAAGACTTTTATAAAAATTAAAATGTTACAAACCGTGTGTTAATGCATTTCCTCGAGTTATTGCATCGTTTTAAGACATTATGTCTTTTACCAAATATCGATGAAAGATGATTTTTGTCAACCTAATAAATTAATGATGATATATAAAAATGAAAAATTTTTAATCTAAAGTTAAGGAATAAAAGATATTAATATGAAAATATATGATCAAGTGAATGGTTAATGGTAATGAATACTTATCTTGCAAGGCTAAGAATACAACGTATTTTATACTATTAAATAAAAGATTCAAGCACTGATAGTTTACATGCTTCTAATAATATTAATACCCTCGCATACTTTCCTATGTTATACACACGTACTACGTTTTTTTGTTTTATAAACAGTTAGGAATAATTTTACGATTAGATGGATTGCTTCTAGTTAATATGTGCTTTCTTTTTTAAATAATTGAGAGTTAACATATTCAAAAAAGTTATAAAATGAGCAATAATAAATATTTTTAAAATGTATCTTACATTTATATTAGCTTAACATATTATTTGTGAGTTTTTTAAAAATATGATCATTATTATGTTGTATGACCAATTTATCAATTTTAAACACGAACAGTGTTATACTTTCAAATTGTTTATAGTAAAAGAGATTAATAATACACAGTAATAACAAAAATGATGAAGGAATGACGACGGATAGTAATGCAACTTACTATAAGGTACTTGAAGAAGTACTCCTTCAAGTACGTGGGAAAATGTGTATAAATTGACTAAACGATGTTTCATAATCTTTGCCTACGTCAAATTCGATTCTCTAATACTTTTGTCAAGACGTTTAAAAAACAAGTGATTCAAAAAGGTTAACTTCCATGGATATTATCGAAAGACGCTATCGATACCGACATTTACATGTTTAGAAAATACAATTTTCTAAATTAAAATCTATGCTACGTCACTGCTCTCAAAAATCATTTCAATTATATATAATTATATTCATCAATTGACAAATATTGTTCTACAATTTTATGGCAGCGAGAATATGTAACAAAAGCGGTATTGCTAAAAAAATAAACACGATATCATTTACATTTTGTAGAAAGAAGACTATCGTTCAGTATAAAGTATACTCTCGAATATCACAAACATCCGTATCGTCTGAATAGAATTGTTAATTATAATAATCTGCATTTATCTCGTTGCTCATTCATACAGGATGTCTATTAAATCTTGTCGATATCATAGTGAAATATGTTATAACCAAGAACTATAGATCGTTTTAGTACTTTAATATGCAGATGCTTCTTTATACTCGGAGCCTTCCATGGTGAAGAAGTCTTCTAGCTTCCATTGCAATGTTTCAAAAGTTGGCCTCTTCATTGGATCCTTATTCCAACATTCTAACATAATATCATACAATGCAGTTGGACAACCAGGTGGACATGGCATTCTGTAACCATGCTCTACTTGATGAAGAACTTCAGCATTTGTCATACCTGTAAAATTAATAAGTACCCTTGTTACAAACATCATGAATGAAAAATTGTATACAATTTCGATAAGACAATTTTACTTACCCGGATATGGTATTCTACCATAAGTAACCAATTCAGTGAGAAGAATACCAAACGACCAAACATCAGATTTAATACTGAATTTGCTGTAATTCGCAGCTTCGGGCGCGGTCCATTTAATCGGAAACCGTGCACCTATTCGAGCTTCATACTCGTCTTCTTTAATTAACCTAGCTAAACCAAAATCTGCGATCTTCACGACGTTCAATTCCGCAACTAGTACATTTCGTGCAGCTAGATCCCTGTGTATGTAATTCTGTGACTCGAGATATGCCATACCCGCCGCGATCTGAGCAGCCATGTCAATTAATCGTTGTAAATTCAACGTCTTCCCTTTTCCTGTTGCAAAATATATCGTTTACATAAAGTAGTAGACAAAGCGATACATAGAATTCACGTCAATCCGTTGAAATTCATTACCTTGCAAGTATTCTAATAAGCTTCCATTCCTCATCAATTCTGTGATGATGTAAATAGGCTCTTCCAAAGTACAAACAGCGTATAATTGTATCAACTTCGCGTGACGAAGTTTCTTCATGATTTGTGCTTCTGCCAAGAAATCTTTGGGATCCATAGTTCCCGGCTTGAGGGTTTTAATTGCCACTGCGGTCGTATTGTTCCATGATCCTTCCCATACTTCTCCGAATTGACCTTGGCCTAATTTTCTTATGAATTTGAGAGACGAACGGTCAATCTCCCATTGATCCCGTGTGCGATGACTAAGACCCTCAGTAACAGGTTTCTCAACCTATTAACAAAATCAAACAGGTGCTGTTAAATTTGTTTATCGTCTTGAATACACACGTAGCTATGGCATTAATAAAAAATGCTTCTTTGCAAGTTTTATACTAATAGACAAGATAGAGAAAACAAAACGATGCTAGCCAAAGTTCTAAAATTCCTTGAAAAAACTGGTGATACTTTTCAATAATATATACAAACCTAAGTAGAAGCCCTTTAATGACGTTGCTTAGGCTGCATTAACTGCTCATTGACTTCTTAGCGATTTTATTATAAATAACAAATAACGAGTGTTGCTTAAACTAATTCAAAATAAAAATGTCTAATCTAACAGTAATGGTAGAAATAATAAACGAAACAGTGACTAATTATGCAGGATGCAAGTGATGAAAAGCAAACTTTAAATTGTGTATTTAATCTCATGCCTTCTGACACTCACGTGGCTTTATAAAGATAGTTGATTAATGTACACAAAATATCATTTTAAAATAACTATTTGTAGCAGATGGATCTTTATTCTTGACATAAAATGTTTCAAAAGTCAGTACTTGATTAGAAGAATGTAGAGTCACGGAATATAATTTTAGGAACTTAGTATTGAACACTTATACACAGTTCAAGACACAAATTTATACATTAATAATTTGTTCACCGTATAATATGCACATTATTAACGAGAATGTAGCACCGTGTTAGAACTATTCTAATTTGAAATGTCTTCAATGCCTTACAATTAAAAGTAAATGTATAGAGGAAAATTTAAGGCAATGAAGGCATTAAATAATACAATTTGATAAGATAGAAGTCTTTAAAGTTATGAACTCTTTTCATCTTAGCTTATTAAAAATTGCTCAGAAAATATATAAAGTTTATTAGATATATGAGAAAAATTTCTGTTTTAAAATCCGTTATATAATCTGTATATGAGTATAAAAAAGGATTCCAAAATCTGTATTTGAAAGAACTGATCTATGAATTTAAATTTCATACACAGGATATCTTAAGAATCAGTAGAAAATGTAATGCACTGTATTTACAATAATAGTCTTTCTTCCTTTCACATTATTTTTCATTTGTATAATTAGTACTATGTATATTGGGTAAAGAGAGTTGAGGATTATTTAAGATATCCTGTATATCAAGTAGATTTGAGCGCATGAATATCTATAGTAGACTACTTTCATCTTTACAATTGTACAAAAAAAATTTGTGTTATACATATCGTTAAAGTGAACAGTACATTGAAATAGTACATACAGACACATAGACACAAATTTATTTTGTTTTCTATATCTGTGCTTCCGAAATCCTATCATCTCTAAGAAAAATCTATGAAATTCAGCAATGACATATCAGATTTCGAAAATAAGTGAGTGTTCTAAATAGATGAACTATCTAATGTCGTTGAAACATGATTCCGTATAGAACGGACTTGTGACGTATGTACAGGCCAAAGACATGATAGAAAGCGTTTATGTTAAAAAGAAAATTAACATGATATGTCATATTGGGCCATTCAATTTACCAAGAAAATCCAGCGGGAGATAAGGTAAGCAATAACAGAGAAACAAACAAAGTCTATTCAGAGATCAAACTTTTGCAAGATTATTTATCAAACTAAAAGACATTGTCAAATCTGAATAATTTTTAAAATAAACAGCAACAATACATGATACAATATACATTATATTTACTTATGTATATTATTTTCCATTTCAACTAACATTGTATATTATCTTCAAAGATTAATCAAAGTTTAAATAATCACTCTACATGTACTTATGAATACAACTCCTTGTTAAATTTTGATTAACATTCAAATTAACACCTACTTCATCAATATTATACATTTCCTATCAGTGTTGTAAATGAAAAACATAAAAAATAAACGGGAACTGAATAAAGTATACGACGAAATCTCATTCTATATTTGATAAATAATTTGTCCGACTTATTATTTTCATAATAATATTATTTAAATCATCATAACTATGAGATACATCTTATCGTTTTATATAGAGCAAAGTCTAACTGGAGTTTAGACATATAATTAGTACTATGTATATTGGGTAAAGAGAGTTGAGGATTATTTAAGATATCCTGTATATCAAGTAGATTTGAGCGCATGAATATCTATAGTAGACTACTTTCATCTTTACAATTGTACAAAAAAAATTTGTGTTATACATATCGTTAAAGTGAACAGTACATTGAAATAGTACATACAGACACATAGACACAAATTTATTTTGTTTTCTATATCTGTGCTTCCGAAATCCTATCATCTCTAAGAAAAATCTATGAAATTCAGCAATGACATATCAGATTTCGAAAATAAGTGAGTGTTCTAAATAGATGAACTATCTAATGTCGTTGAAACATGATTCCGTATAGAACGGACTTGTGACGTATGTACAGGCCAAAGACATGATAGAAAGCGTTTATGTTAAAAAGAAAATTAACATGATATGTCATATTGGGCCATTCAATTTACCAAGAAAATCCAGCGGGAGATAAGGTAAGCAATAACAGAGAAACAAACAAAGTCTATTCAGAGATCAAACTTTTGCAAGATTATTTATCAAACTAAAAGACATTGTCAAATCTGAATAATTTTTAAAATAAACAGCAACAATACATGATACAATATACATTATATTTACTTATGTATATTATTTTCCATTTCAACTAACATTGTATATTATCTTCAAAGATTAATCAAAGTTTAAATAATCACTCTACATGTACTTATGAATACAACTCCTTGTTAAATTTTGATTAACATTCAAATTAACACCTACTTCATCAATATTATACATTTCCTATCAGTGTTGTAAATGAAAAACATAAAAAATAAACGGGAACTGAATAAAGTATACGACGAAATCTCATTCTATATTTGATAAATAATTTGTCCGACTTATTATTTTCATAATAATATTATTTAAATCATCATAACTATGAGATACATCTTATCGTTTTATATAGAGCAAAGTCTAACTGGAGTTTAGACAGTGCTGTAAATATATAGTATTCAATATTCTTTAAACGTTTATTCAAACGATTCAACGTTTATGTAGACATATTTATACTCTCTGATTCATTTTATGTACAAAATTGATCACATTGCAAACATGTGTACAGTAAGGGTCAATAACATCATGCATTTGTGTCCTTATTTTCACTTTTAATCTCATATGGGTTGTATTTAATATCAAGGGATTTCTGCATATTTAGTAAGTACCAAAACACAAGATAGGTAATTAATTTCTTTCAATCAATTGAAGAAATGCCTTGATACGGATTAAAAAAAAATTCAATACTTAAGCAGTATCCTTTAGTAAAATATTAATGTCATTAAAAATCAATTTTATACATGCAGCAAGCTGTCTAAACTCCATTTATATGACGGGTTACGTGAAATGTTTACTACAAAAAACTTATCTGTCTTACCTGTACACATGGCTTGCAAAGATTTACGCACAGTCCATCAGCGTCTTTACTATAATGCTCGACAAGATCCTGAAGATTCCTGAATGTAGTCCTTCTAGCAATGAAGAAACCACCTTCGTCCAGTTGCCTAATGCGATAATGTTTAACTGTGTCACCATCGCGTACTAAAAAACATTTGTATTATTTTATTATCCAAAAAATTGTATTAATAATTCCAATATATTGAATAAGATGTTAAAAAAAGATAATGGATGCATTAAATTGTGTAAAATTGATTGCACTTACCCGAGAGAGAATAATCATTATGTCTACTCTCAGAGTCCCTGATTAAAAATGCACCATGATCATTTTCAGGCAGTAATAACTTCTTTTCTGCTTCAATTCGTTTGATCTTTCTGAAGTACCATCTAAAAATCAATGATACAGAGGCATGGTAAATAAAGTGTATGATATATTTAGAAATATGTGCAGGAAATAAAAATCTAATAAAACACTGGGTTTTTTATGATTGTATTTTTATGTGGGAAACCGCAAAAGCGGAAACATTGCTTATCTAATTGATAGAGGTGCTATGTTCATAGAACCTTGAGAGATTCAATACAAATAGATTTAGAATTAAAATGAAAGTCACAATAACTAAGTAATTAGAAAAACAATTATTAAATAAAAAAATAACTTAAGATCAGTATATTTTTTAATTTAACAAATCTTATAACTGTACTACAGTCTCTAGAATGCAATAGCTTAAAATTTGTTTTCAGTAAACACATAACTGTACATTTTTATGTGACTTGCATTCTTAATGTGCAATCATGTTAAACGTGCACATTTATTCATTAGCTATTCATATATTAAAGAGGAATGACATTGAAAATGTAACTTACGGTTCTGCTTCTATGGATTTCAACTTTGCAACATAGTTACTGGGAATATATCCCTCTTGTCGAGTTCTTTTACTTCTGGCTAACCACCAGTCCCCTTGAGTATCATTCAGGATCTCTAAATGTTCACCCTTTCTGAAGCTCAAATCTTCATCTGTGCGTGCATCATAATCATAAAGTGCAACAAATATCTTTGCAGTTGGCACATCTGCATCTGGAATCTGTGGCATAGGCCTGATGGGATCTGGAGGCGGTGTTGGCACTGGACTAGCTTGAGACGCAACTGCTTCTATATTAGGATTGCCTATTCTGTCAGGCTTTTCTTTCTCAGTGTCCGGTGGACTATTGAAACAATTACCCATTTTTCGTGAATTATATGAAATTCGTCTGGTAATCAAGTTCACGGTCACTGGGTCATGAAATAAAAATCTCTTTTGGCAAATGTTCTTCCACCAATTCTACGTTTGATCCTCTCTCATAGATATACAGTATATTTTTTAATTTAACAAATCTTATAACTGTACTACAGTCTCTAGAATGCAATAGCTTAAAATTTGTTTTCAGTAAACACATAACTGTACATTTTTATGTGACTTGCATTCTTAATGTGCAATCATGTTAAACGTGCACATTTATTCATTAGCTATTCATATATTAAAGAGGAATGACATTGAAAATGTAACTTACGGTTCTGCTTCTATGGATTTCAACTTTGCAACATAGTTACTGGGAATATATCCCTCTTGTCGAGTTCTTTTACTTCTGGCTAACCACCAGTCCCCTTGAGTATCATTCAGGATCTCTAAATGTTCACCCTTTCTGAAGCTCAAATCTTCATCTGTGCGTGCATCATAATCATAAAGTGCAACAAATATCTTTGCAGTTGGCACATCTGCATCTGGAATCTGTGGCATAGGCCTGATGGGATCTGGAGGCGGTGTTGGCACTGGACTAGCTTGAGACGCAACTGCTTCTATATTAGGATTGCCTATTCTGTCAGGCTTTTCTTTCTCAGTGTCCGGTGGACTATTGAAACAATTACCCATTTTTCGTGAATTATATGAAATTCGTCTGGTAATCAAGTTCACGGTCACTGGGTCATGAAATAAAAATCTCTTTTGGCAAATGTTCTTCCACCAATTCTACGTTTGATCCTCTCTCATAGATATCGAGGTACGACAATGCGAATAGAAAATTTTTATAACACACATTTCTTTGTGCGATGTTTAATACGTTTTTGAAATTTCTCATACACCTGTAGACTCGCTCATAACGAGTCGTAAATATACACGGTAAAACACCGACGTGCACTTTGGTTTTTATAACATTTAGACAGCGATCACTAAGGAACGCGGTTGAACGTGTTACGAGTCCTTAAGATACAATAAAATTCGTAGAGTCGGCACTTTTTTCCTCGAAACTGTTCCTCTTCTTCTCGAGAAACTTGCAATTTCTCCCTTGATATCTAACGTGATAACAGTCGAGAACACTTGTAATTAGAGTTAAAAGTTTCACTGAGAATTATAAGTAATAAATATAAGTATTTACTGGAATACGACGGTGACACTTCATTACATCGCTAAACCAATACCCATGTAATCGTAACGTAAAACGGAGGTATGCTCTATTGTGGTACACGCATTTTCATCACGTTCACGTTGCTCTAAGCTGGATGTTATAACATAAACCTTTTTGATACAAGTTGAGATGGAAATCATTAATTTTATCAGCACTTATAGATATTGAAAGTATTACCCCATCATTCTATTAGTGTCAATTGTCCCCTTTTAACTTTTGATTAAAAGGAATCGTTTTTAATGGACGATAAAGATAAAAGCAACGAAATCTCGGACAGCCGAAAAGTATCAATTAATCCGAACGTTCCACTTTGCTGGCATTAACTTTTGTGCAAACGTAGACATGGGCATACATACCTTGTTCTTTCGGATAAACAAGTACTTAACATGGAAACATCTTTTAAAATATAGAGAAGTAATAAGACAGCAAATAATTTATGAAAATGACATCCAGGTATCAATTACGAACTCACACGCCCAACAGTTCTTGTTGTACAATGACTACATACAATGATCATCGTTTAGATAACAATGCTTTAAAATAGAGGTCAGACAAAATAAAAGCTTCGACGAATTATGATAAAAAGTGAGAGTAATACGATCTGAGTAATAGAGCCCGCTCGATTTGAACTTGTCCCACCGGTTTGTCACAGAATCCAGGAAAAAAGTAAATTGAACTCTTACACCGGAAGATCATTTTTTGTCTATCGTCGAGGTTCTAGCACTGACATGGCTTGACCGCGAGAAACTCCGGGAACACGGCAATAAACAGCGGTTAAAAGAAACGTGGACAACATAATGGAAAGTAACAACGTCGCCATTGCATTAAATCAGATCCGTCAAATCCTAATTTTCACATGTGCGATACTGGTAACGGCGAATGACAAAGCACACACCCAACTTATCGTCAAAAAATGCAATTACGGGATGAACGTAACTCGCATAACATTTTACGACCCGGTACGAGATTAGTTCACATATTATTTCGAGGATAAACGCGAGAGGCGAACAATCTTTTCATGAGAAACCGACGGAGAGGTGAAAACACCCATGGTGAAGGTAGCCAGTGGTAGCCAGCGGAATATGGCTTTCGGATGAGTTCGGTTATAAACCCGAACTTAACCGAACCTTTACCATCCCCCAACCAAAGATGCAAGTCGTTAAGTTACTATGTATACATGCATATAACATACATATAATCTTGACTACTTCATTTAGGTAGAAAAAGAAACGTAATAGCCGCGTTTTTTATTATGGTATATTTTATTAGAAAACTTAAGCTTGAGCACTATTGAGTTGAGAAAAATCAATGATAACATAAAGTAAAGAAGATGTCATTGATCAATTTAGCTGTATTTCTATCTAAAAGTTGACGTAAGCTATATAATTAATACAACAATGCAAAGTGCTTCATAATGTACTAAAATGAATGATTACAATCAACAGTAGTGGAAGAACATTGCTTTTATACAGGTGGACTCGTATCTTTATTATAGAAGGCGAAACAATCATCACTCTACTTTCATCGTCCTAGCATATGTATTTTTTACGTTTCAAACTTCCTTGAAGAACGTACACAGTGTTCGAGAAAGATCGTTATTCCGTGAAGAAATGTGTGCCAAAGATTATATTTTAAATTGATACGATAGAACATGTTCTATGTTAAAGTTTTTAGTACCACTTATTAATATTTATCTCTAAAAACTAAAACATCTGTTGTAATAATTGATTGAAAAGATAATTCGTTTATGTCGTGTACCAATTGCTGAAGTAGACGTTGTACGTATGCGTCAAAACATGTGTATTTGTCAACTGATTAATGTAACATTCAACTATTACTACTTATACGTACTTATAAAAATGTAATATTACCTGAAAAATTTATTCAGCCAATATTGAAGCGTTTTACTGCGAAATACTTTAGAATGCATTTTTGCGAACAATTCGGTTCACATACGTATGCACGTGACTGTGACTTTCCGAACCTATTGCGCGGCACTTTTTGGTAAATAATGCGATAAATGTAGTACCGAGAACTGTAACCATTCGTATCTGACACCGTACTACTCGTTTATTTCAAATTATCTATCTTTTTCACGTATACACATACAAGGACATTGTGTATAAGAATACACGGTATCGTATTTTTATACATGCGCAGGTGTGTGTACAAGATTCCATTTATTGCATTATCAGATTGTGTCGTTTTATCGACTTGGGCTATATAGCATAATTTTATTACAACATAGATATTATTCCATGAATTTAGTACAAAATCTTATCAAATACAATAATTACTTACCATTTCTATTTATTCGCCATACAATATTTGTTAAAGAAGTAATGAAATATGTATAATGCTTATTATTCATTCATATACATTATATACATTTAACGGTTCTTTATAGAACCAATTTCAAATTAATCCATAAAAAGATTTTGATTTTTAACATTACAAAACTTTAACAGAAATAATATATTTTAAAATAATTATAAATTGATAAAGAATAACTATAATTTTAATTGGAATTTTATTGGAATATTATAAAAGAACACTTTCATGATTTACATTAGTTTCATTTCTGTGTAACACTAAGATCTGTCATCACCACGTGTATGTTTAAACACGAAACTGAATGAATGAACAAATGCAGATCTTTTATATATATTCATATCATGCAAAAATTATTGAGGTGAACTTTTATGATAGGAATAATGGCCACTGATTGTACAAATAGTATATTATAGTTAACTTTAATGTCCAAATCATATTGACATTCATTTCTATAAAAAGAAATGCATTTCTCTAACAAACGCAATGTGGAAGTTTTGTTTCAATTGTGTTTAGCCTTTATGCAAAATTGATTGGTTATATGAAAATTACTTCTTAGCAGTATTTTCATCTGTGGAAGGTACTTTATCTTCTGTGATAGGTACTTCCAACATTTTTGGACCATATAAAAGAACGTATGCGCAATGCCAATCGCCACCACCACTAAGTTTTAATATTTGGCTAACCGGCACAGGACTAACAGTTTCATCATCACATTTCAGCCATTTGTCATCTTCTTGTCTAATCCATGCCACATAATGACCGCTACTACTCGATCGACCTCTGTGTGTTAGAACCGCTTGCAATGTGTAATACCCACTGTTATTTGATCCTATATCTGTAATTAGAAACGACATATTTATAGCGATACGAACATTAACATGTTCATGTAATCTTTTCAGGTAATGTGTACCGTTTGGAAACCAGAAAGGTTCTTTTTTCGTTTTCTTTCCGGTTTCAGTATTCGTTTTATTTCCTTTATCTTTCGATTTTTGTAACTCTTCATTTACATGATTTAATTCGTCTTCGTATTCTTTAAACTTCGTTCGCATCGGCATGAGCTTCTCCTGAAGTTCGGTGGTACACAAACCGTACGCATCGAATTCAAACGGAAATTTGACGTCTTTCAGAATCTTTGCATTAATCGCTTCCCTCTCTTTGTAATAAAAACGTACAAACTGGATTGTCAAATATGCTGGCAATCGACTAATTCTTGACTGTAAGAGAATATACAGTTTAAATGAAAATCCCATCAATTCAGACATATATTTTTCTACTCTACTGTGTAATATACTTTACCGTCTTCGTATATACCGCGTCTCTGCCAAGAGTTGGTGACATTTTCGTTATCTGTTCTTGCATTTTATTTCTAAGTCCACAAAACATATATTTAACCTCTTGTGAAATAAAACAACTCAATTGTAAAAAGTCTTCTTTACCCTTGGTAGGCGGTTCGTCATCAGATTCTACACATTTCAACTCTGTATCAAACGACCCACCAAAGTATTGTTCAATTAGAGATCGAGGTTTATAAGTTTGTTCACCACTTTCTAATGCAGGATTCTCCTACAATTATCTCAAAATTATTTATGAAAATTTACTCAAAACGTGGGGATTATATAGGGATAGCATTTCAAGCATTGGAAGACTTAATAACCTTGGCTGGTAATTGTTGTTGCAACATTCTAATAAGTTCGCTCCAACATTCATTAGCATCCTGCTGTTGAAATCCGCCGTGATCAGATTTTTCCGCGAATCTTGGGAATGCCAAATGCATCATTTGAAGAAGAACAACAGGTGGCAGAGAAGATCCCTTATAAGACCCCATGCTAGTATACAAATCTCTTAATGCAGCAGTTATACTTTGTGCAGGCACAATTGAGGAGCTACCAGTAGCTGCAAGCCCGTCCGAAAAGTTCATTAAAGCTTCTTTCAATTCAGGGACAGTTCTTAGGCACTGTACAGTTGCATTAAGATAACAAGTATTTCCTAAGTTAATTAAGCCAGCTGGTAAATCTAAAACAGTTGCTATAGCGGATTCACTCATATCTTCTAAAAATAATGTTTTCTCAGTAGGTTCTACTGGCACATCTTCTTCTTTCGATCCCATCATTAATACAGTAATGCCCTATAATAAAGTTAACGTAACATTTCTTTAATGTTCCCATTGATAGTGTAACGAAGATAATTGATCCTCACATCTTTGAGCGTGATATTGCCCCAATCATCATCCTTCAATGTCTGTCCTTTCAACATAATTTTTTGTCTTTTTGGCTGTACTCCTGTCAATGCAAACAGTTGTGCTTTAAACAACATTGGTTCTTCATCTGTATTAACTTCTACATTAGGAAAGAGTTCCTTTCCCCATTTTACTTTAACTAGAATGCAAGAATTTCACATATTAAAAATTATTTCAAACAGATATTAAACAAATGTTTAAGGTTAAGTCTTAACAAATTTTTTTTGCGTGATCGGTACGTACCAGAATATAAAGGCATCTTTTTCTTTCA